TCAGGAAGGTCTCCGTTATGTCCGCAATCGTCATAAACACAACGTGACCGAAAACACAATGGCAAACACAATTTAAGTCCCTGAAATAAATTATTACTAAACAAACATCCCAAGGCAAAAATGTCAGCAAAATTAGTATCTAGCATAAGCCATTCATGCCTTGAATTCATCTGGACTCCTAAAAGTGACTTAAAAACAGTCATTCATGATGATTTGCAATATAGCCATCCAAATAAATTACATGTAACAAAATCAATAGTAAATGGTACCAAGAAGATTCATTTCCATGTTGTTCTTTTAATTGTTATCAGTCCACGTTGTTAGACCACTGGGAATGAAAATCCCGCTCAATATATAATGATGAACCCTTCATCAGCCAGTTGAGAGCCGGGAAATGTATTAATCTGTCTATTCTCCCATAGCTTAATTTATAGTCTCCGTTTAATTCCTTTTCGGAAAAATCAAACAATTGATCACTAAAGTGAACATTGGGTTTTTTGTATAATTCTTGTAGTTTCATTTAATAAGGCTACTTTTAAAATAATGGTAGGACGGTATTTAATTTGTAAGATATTATTTATTTTGATACGAAAATTTTATAATTTTATCTTTAAAAAGCTCGTAAGTATGAATTTTAAATATTTTTTCTTAATATTTTATTGTTAAATATAGTTATGATTTTTTAGTTTATTTATTTGTTCAACAAATAAATAAAAGTTTTATTTATCAATATGGATGATCAACATATATATCATAATAAATATTCATAACATTTCAATGTGAAATTAATGTGTCATAAATTTTTTTTGTTAAAATTTGATATTCTCGTTAAACGTAACATAAAATATAAATAGAACAATAGAACTAAAATTATATTAGATGTTGACATTTTAGAGGAAACTTTTATAGTGTAGCATTTAATTATCATTCGATTGATAACAGCATAATATAATTTGTAAAGATTTACATTTAACTTACGATATATTAACAACTTTAATCCAAATATCTCATAATTTTATCATACAAAAATATCTCATAAATTTTAAGTTTAACCTCACTTATATATTATAATAAATTGTTAAAATCTTTCAATATAAAATTGAAGTATCAAATAAGTAAATCCAATAATTCTAAACACAATTAAGAGATATGATACGAAATAGATACAAAATCCTATGACGAGATTCGCACCATCTTCACAAATGAAACCTAAATTGTTTGAAGAAACCAGTTATTGAAGTTCTTTTTTGACAAAGATAATGGTTCTATTGTTGATCTCAGGTTTGCCAGTCCTGCAATGAATTGGTGTAAGACATGACAGGCCTGAGATAAGATGGTTTGGTTTGCAAGTTTATAGTCAACAATTTTCAATGCTTATAGTTAAGTTCTATTCCGGTTCGCTGCTATCACCTTGTTTTTGGTATTTCCAAGGAAGGTTACAGGGCCATTTTCAACTTTCAAGCTCTTTTCATATACCTCAACCATTGTATTAATTATGCAAATAGGGCCATTGTATACAAGTAGGGTTAGGATCAAGTATTAGGAAAAGGGAAAACATCAATTCAAACTTTTTTTTTTTTAAATTCATCCATTCAAAAAATTATTTATACCAAATAAAATTTACACGTCGAATTTATTTTTAATACATTAATTAATAACAAAAATTTTTAATTTTACAAATAAAATTAAAAATTATTACTTATTTTATTTTTAATATATCTTAAAAAAATATATCACTCTCGTAATTTTACTAATAAAATTTAAAAATTTAAAGAATAATTTCTTTACCCTTTTCATTTTCATCCATAAATACAAATTAAAGTTAAAAAAAATTATCAAACTAATGGGTTCGAGGTGATATACGATAATTAGAACTGTTAATTTAAAATATGATACGACAATATGATATAAAAATAAAATAAAAATATAATTTAAAATTTTAATAATAATTATACATAAATTTAATAAAAGTAAAAATATATATTTTATAATTTTGTACAAAAATAATTATACCATGTAACTTTTATATAAAATATAATAAAAATGTATATATTTTAGTAATTTACACAAGACATAGAAAAACCCTAACTCATGACATTAGATTTCCGGTTAAATGCCCAAAACATCTACCACATGGCAGCTTATGGTTATTTTCAGAAATCAGAACTGAAGAAAAGTTAAACAAAACCTCCTTTTTTAAACTTAATCTCTTATGCAAATTACAAATAAAAGTGAGAAAATATAAAAATTTACAAGAGTGAAAGGAAAGTTAAACAAGAAAAGAGGAAATGGCGAGGGAAGAGTCCACCTATACTTCTTTGTATCTCCTTTTATTGTTACAATCAATAATCAATTCCTATTAATTAGGTTTGGTACGTTCGGTAACAATTAAATGAGCTTTTGACAAATTGCAAAAGATAATGACTATGACAATTATTGTTGCTATACCGACACATATCCATCTTTTTAGTGGCTGAGTGTTGATGAATATATAATTTTTTGACTTATTATCTTCTTTATTTATCTTATTAATTGTTCAAGTTTATAGTCTTTTATTTTTGAATTAAAAGATATTGATGAAGTTATTTTTTATTTGTTCCATTATTTCTATCTATTTTAATACTAGAATAGTAAAAAAATAAAGTAATCTAAATCTTTCATTCTAAATAATTTTTTTAGAAGTTCAATCACTTCAAGTTTAACTTTGAATTATTTCTATCATAAAATTTTTTCACAAAAATTTTTTTACTATCTATTATAGCAGTAATATAAATAGTTTGTGGAATTGATGGATTTCATTTAGTAATTTTGTTACTTTTCTATGATGATGATTTTAGCTTAAAATTTGTATAAACTTGCTCTATTAAATTATGAGAAAAGCAAATTTTATATTTTTTCATTTTTATTAGGTGCTAATAAATCTTGTCCATAAAATTTTTTTTGATCTCTCAGATTTGATAGGATTAAAAAAATATTTCTCTGTGAAAATATCCTACTAAATTAGTTATTTTAATATGCATACGAGAAAAATATTCATTATTTTTAACAAAATAAAATTTTTTGACTTAATAAAAGTAGGAAAATACCTTATTACATGAAAAGATAAATTAAAAAGTAATTATTCCTACAAAACATATTCTAATACTGATTATATCATAAGAGTTATGATTTAATCTGAATTTAATTTTAGAAAATCCTCCTAAAATTTTTTAATTTTTCAAATATACATAAAAATATTCATAAAATTTTTCATGAAGTAGTAGATTTACTTCATTTCTTATTGAATTTTTTATTTTATTAAAAAGTTCATTAGATAAGACTTTGTTAATCTTTTTATACAAATTTTTTTTAAAGTTTTAAAAGAAAAGAAGTAATGATTTTTTTCTTTCGTGAAAAAATTACAAATATTTAAGAGATTGTTTATCTATTTAAGGATTATTATTTTTCATCAAATTAAAAAATTTATGGTTCCTCTGAATTTCTTAAAGTTAAATTATTTAAACAAGATTTTGAAAATTTTAAAATTTATTAACATGTTAGGTTAATCCTTCCACAAGCTTATTTAAGATTACCACATATTTCATAATTATAATTTTTTTAATTATAAATATAAATAGGAGCGATTTCAAACTTTTAATCAATCGAATAATATGAGTAATAGGTTGAATATTTAGCAAAAAACATGAAAGAAAAAGAAAAAGGAGTTAAAATAAAATAAAAAAGTAAATGAAATGAAATCATAACGAAAAAAACGTGGTATTGGGTCGTTTGTACTACATGCGCAAATCAAAATTGGGCATATCTTTACTTAAAGTAAAGCATAAACCTTTTACAAGCTTAATTACGTTTTTTTTTTTCTAAAAGTTAATTTACTATCTTAAAGTTTAAATTTTTAAACTTTATTTATGAGATTATATAACTCATGGGTAATATTAGGTTATAAAAATTTTTTGTTTATGAAAAATTTTTGTTATGATTTTAATAAAAATTTTTTTTGAATAATTTCAAATGTAATATTGAAGTGCATTGATTTGGATTTTGGAGAAATTAATGTTATGTTTAGATAAATATTAATAAAGGAAAGGAAAAGAATGGAAAAGAAAATTTTTTAAATGAAAGAAAAAGATATATGTAACACTTGTTTGGATAATTAAAATTAATAAAAAATAAAAAATAAAAAGAATTCTAATAACTATTATTTGAATAAAGAGTAAAAAAGAAAGGAAATGTTTCATTATAGTAATTTTTTTCAATTATAACATTTTATTATCTATGATTTTAGAGCACTCTTAGATCATGATATATTTATTATATTGTTTGACCTCACATTGCTGTTATATCAATGGTTTTTAATCAAGTGAAATATAAAGATATTTTATAAACATGCATTGATGGATTTTATGTTAGTTTGTCATCTCATAAACTTAAAAAATATATCTATTCATATTCAACCATTTATCAAAATCAAATCATCAAAAAATTTTAAAAAAATTATATATTGAAAAAGATATGTGAAACTTACTTGAAAAAAGAGATGACTTTGATAAAATTACAGGATGATTGTGATCTATTTAAATTTTTTTATTAAATTTTTAGTATTAATAAATAGATGAATATAATAATCTTTTTATAAAAAATATTTTTCAACTTTTTTTTTTATGATTTTTCCTTCAAATTGAGATATTAAAAAAATTAAATTTATAAGAGGAAGCAAATATTGGTTTCGATCTCTTTCCCTTTTCTTAAATTAAAAATTTATCTAATCAAAAGAACGGGGTTTTGTTTTCTTTATATTTTTTTACTTTACTTTCATTTCTTTCCCCTGCCTTCAATTTAAATACATTGCAAAATAAACTGGAAGGTTCTAATATTTGTTGCGATGGAATTTTTATGTATGATTGAGGATAAAAAAAAAAATTTGTATATAAATTATGATTATAAAATTTTTTTAAATAAATATAATTTTTAATATTTTGCCCATGTTCTCAGTACCTAACAGTCATGGCCGTAAACCTTTTTCAAACTTTTAAAACAAAACCTCCTTTTTAAACCCAAGAAATATAGGCCAGCAACGCCTCTTTCTCTTTGACAACTGAAATAAACAGCAGCAATAGGGAGGCCAAGATCGTTTTCAGCAGCAAAATCTCGGGTGCTAAAGTTATCCCTTGAAGAAGGTAACTAATTATCTGTGTACGTTTCTGCTTGAAAAGAACAAACACAAACCTGTGGATCTCTATATTCAAGAATTTGGGTGGTTTCTTTCCTTGCATTTCTTGATGGTTGGGATTTATGTCTAATTGCCGTTATGCCACTTTCGTGTTTTTCTATCAAATTTTCTTTTTCAGGGGCTTCCGCATGTTTATCACATTAGAAATTTTTAGGCCTTTTTTTTCGTTATTGACCTAAATTTGTACTATTATGTACAAAAAATAGTTGAGTTGTACCATTTTTAAGTTTTCACCATTATTCCTTCATCGTATTCCAATCATGGAGATTCTCTGTTTTCTAAATCTTGTCATGGTCAACTTTGAACTTGTTGACCATTGCCTTTTGATCAATGATTCGACTTGAATATCTCTTCTTGGTTGATTAATCTGTGATTATGGTTGACTATGAATATGGAATCTCATGTATTAACTGTTTGCTATATGATTTTCTGAGAAAACCTGGGCTTAAACCCTATAATTCTTGACTAATTATTAGTCCATAGACTAATCAGCTTTGCTCATTTTCTTTTTTCCTCCCTAAATGTCAAGAAAAAAGGAAAGTTATCCAGTAATTCAACGAAATCTATATGATTTGGATTAACAAAGAGTTGTTGGACTTTACTCGTGTCAAGGTCTTCTTAAAAACTTCAGATTTTGCAATGAATGTCAAGCGGACTAGCTCCTTGGTTAATTCATAATGGTCAGCTTGTCTGTGCTCATTTCTTTTGCCATTACTGTTAGCTCCCTTGTTGATATTCCACATTAGGTGTCTCTCTCCCTATATTCCTGCATAGGTATGCTTTATGCAAAAGAATTATTGGCAATGTAACTGAGCACTTAGTTAAGATTTTCTTCTAATAGCGCATGTAGTTGAATAGCTGGGAGAATAGAGGTCTTTGGCCGTGCAGTGATTTGAGTTTGGGCTCTTTCACAAGATACCATAAACAGCCAGTTGCACATATTCTGGATTCAAAAATGACTATAAGATACAGACTGACCAGCAAAAGCAATCACAATGAATTGGGATAATTTAATTTCTTTCAATTAGGACTTGAATTTCTAAGTTTAATTATGTCTTTTGTTTGCATGTTGTATTTGAATTGAGAGACTTTTATTTGCTTGGATTTTGTTGTTGTTGTTGTTGTGTTTTTGTAGTATAAGAATCGAGTTTATTTTTACTTGTTAAACGAGTCTAAGCTTGAATAGCTTGATTTTTATTTCAAGTCGAACTCGAAATAAAAAAATATAACTTGATCGAGTTTGAACCAAGTTTCGAGCTTTGAATTTGGTGTTGAGCTCGAGCTTGGTATTGTATAGGCTCGAACTTGATCGATTACACCCCTAATCAACCCCTAATCAAGATCAGAAGTCTAGCTTTATCTGCTCACCTAACCATTCATACAATCATCGGTAGTGTCAGGTACTTTTGGCTGTGCTCTGCAATGCACAGTGTTTATAAAAATAAAAGCTAATTTTTTTGACCAGTTTAAAATTTTAGTAGTAAATTGAAAATGGACAGAAGTGGCAAAATGAGTATGAGGACAAGCACGGGAGGAAGTAGCAGCAGCAAGGCAGTACCAATAATGCGGGAATTTGTTAGGATAGACAGTAGTGCCAGTGCCAGAAGCCAACATGATGTTATCAAATTCCGTCTTGTATCATACAACATTTTGGCTCAGGTAACTAGTATTTGGGATTTGGGATCATTTTTTTTCTTGTTTTGTTTAAGTAATCCAAAGCTTCCATTTTCAAAGTAGTATTACGTTTCTTATACTTGTATGTATTACAGGTGTACATCAAGAGGTCTCTGTTTCTGCATTCTCCGTTTCCTTGTCTCAGGTCAATTAATTACTTCTTCATCTTTTCTCTTCTCTTCAGTTATCGTACTGCCACTGCCATTCCTTCTTCTTTCTTAACGGCTTTCCAAGTTTAGTATTTTTAACCTCATTGGTATATTAAATAAATTACCACGTGCGTTGTCTTTCAACCCAAATTTCCATTCTTTATTACCTTTGGAATTTCTCCACATCCTTCACTTGTTTATCTTCTCTTTCAACCTTGATTATGGCTACCACAAAAAGGATAGTTGTTGATTATCTAGTAAATTTGCATTTTCCTTTCTTTTTTCAAAATTTTTTTTCTGCAATTTAATATCCAAGTGATTGTTTACGATTGTTTATGTAATCAAACTGACTTGTAGGTTATTCTTAATTTTTCTGATTCTACTTTGTAACAGATGGAACACTCGTTCACAGGCAATTTTAACTCTTCTAAAAAACCTTGGAGCTGACTTCTTTTGCCTTCAGGTTTGCTTCATTCTTTTAAATGAAGTTCATAAATTTGCACATTTTTCTGCTACCTTCATCTCCCTCTCCAGCTTCTGCTCTTTCATGCATTGACCATGTCAGTGCATGTGCGTTCATACATTGTGTATATTTCTGCATATTATTCTAATTGCCCTTTTTTTATGGTCTAAAAACATACCAGGAAGTAGATGAGTATGATTCCTTTTATAAAAGAAAGTCTGAGGAACATGGATATTCTAGTATATACGTTCAGAGAGGTGGACAGAGGCATGATGGGTGTGGAATATTTTATAAGAACAACTGGTATGCTGAAACTAGTCTCTATTTTTCTTTCAAAATAATTTCCTTGAACATATATACTAGAATATTGAAGAATATTCTAGCGTATATACAGTAGGTTTTTTTACAACAACTTTTTTTCAAATTAAAGTTTTTTCTCTTTCTTGGGTGTTTATGCATTACATTTTGTGTGTGTTTTGCAGCAAATTTTGCCTTTATGAAGTCCTCCTTTTGCAGGAAGCCAACATACTATCTTATTTTACAAACTTACCGTCACACATTGCTTCAGTGCAGAATTACTTTCGAAGGAAACAATAGAATACAATGATCTTGTAGACTTGTTACAGGGTGAAACCTCCTTATCTGCTAACAAGCAGAATGAGACAATGACCAATACAAATAATGGTGCTGATCCAAAGAATGGTAAATTTTTCTATTATTATGTTTTTGCATCCAACAACGCCCGTATTGTACTTATGACTTGTTGCTTGATTTTCTATTGTTATGTTTTCTTTTTGCATCCAACGACATGTATGTTGTACTTATTATGACTTGTTACTTGATATTTTGGCATCTTAAAGCTGTGTTACATAATTTTATTAGACATTCTAACCCTAGTTTTGAGGACTGCTCAATAATTACTGTGCTACCTGTTACCCTTGTTTTAACCTGCTTTGAATTACAATGGACAATTAGTTTTACTGTACATGCATTTGTTTTAGTGTCTTCTCTTCCACTTTTTCTCCAGCAATTTTTGGGAGGTTTTTAAGTCCTTTACTAGTTGAGATGGATCAGAGAGAAGCTTTATTTGGTGTTATCATTGAATGAAAGGCTTTATAGGAAATCATCAAACATATAGATCAGTTAGAGATACCCTGTTTTCTGTGGTTTTTGGAAGTTAGTAAATTGTGTTTCCCTAGTTAACTTAAATTCTGTTTGCAGAAGAGCAAGCAGTCGTATAAAAGCATATTGCATCCTAGGCTGCTAAAAGCAAGCAATCGTGTAATAGCTTATTGCATTTTTGCTTGCTAAACTTACACTGGTTCATAAATCATATTATTATTGTATAAAGTCATTGCTTGCAGCTTAGGTCGATAAGAATAGATTAAATATTCTGCAGAATGCTAAAATTTAACTTTTTAAGATGGTTCAGTCTTCTGCTGGAGAAGGGCTTTTCACGAGGAAAGAAATGCAGAACTAGCATTGTCATCAGCTGAGCTGGTGATGGCATTTTAATCACAAACCGTCTTCTGGTTATGTTTATCATAGATAATATCTGCACTAAATGTCTCTCAGTCAAGTTTTATTAGTTGATATTCAGAGCACAAGTATAATTTGATGAATAACAAAAATGATGTAGTTCATTGCATATGCTAAGCAAATTTTAAACCTTTATTTGCTTTATCTCTACCTCTCAGTACATATATATATATATATATATATATTATTTCGCGATGTAAGTTGCTATTATCTCCTACTACAAACTAGTAATGATATTGTACGCTGGTAGTTCACTGCTTGGATGATCTGTTATCAGATTCTTCTGTTAGGAGTAGTCCAGCGCATCATGGAGATCCCAATGATCAACGTGTAAGATTAAAACAAGATTGTGTAGGAATTATGGCTGCCTTTAAACTCAAAGATCCTTTTGATCATGTCATTATTCTGGCAACCACACATCTTTATTGGTAAACTATCCAAAATTTTGTTTATCCATTTAATGTAGGTACAATGTGTTATACATCTTGGATTCTATGGGGTTGAATTATAAGTACATTTATTGCTGTTTTTTTCCAGGGATCCAAAGTTAGCTGATGTTAAGCTTGCCCAAGCCAAATATCTTTTATCACGCTTAGCTCAGTTTAAAACATTGGTAACAGACAAATTTGAATGTACTCCTTCATTAATTTTGTCTGGTGACTTCAATTCAACTCCCAGAGATAAGGTTTGCTAGTACATTTTATTTATTTATTTATTAAAATTTTCATATATATATATACAGACATATATAAATGCTTATCTAGGTTCCAGGTGGATAACCCTATTTCCCTTAGGCTTCATAATTCTTCAATTTGCTAATAGTTTCAGGTTATCTATGGCTTCTTTCTCGACCATTTCATGCAATTTTATGTAGGAAAATTAACCTGATAGTTGAATTACAAAACGGCACATGTTATGAATCTCAACCATTGGATTAAAAAGCTTTCCATCCTCCCTATCAAACATAGCATAAAGAATAAACCTCTAGAAGGAAGACTGTGGAACTAAGGTTGTGCTGAGTAGCAGGTTGTCTTGCGTAGTTTTGTTTTGTATTATATATCTAGCACATGAAAATGGACAGTTTTACCCCATGAAAGCTCAAGTGTGATGGTTGGTGAACTTGAGCATCCAAAGGCATTGCCTGACTTGTTCAATACTCTAATTTGACATTCATTGTTCTTTTTAACTCACCTTAAGCGTCCTCAGTCAAAAACCTTGCCCTTCCTCCTGGACTGGTTTTTAGAATGTTTTCTGGGCCACCTTATTTTTGTGATATCACTCTCCATGATTTTTTTGTACATTGTTCTCCCACTTTTCATCTTTGGGCTTATTTCCTTGGGTATTATTCCACTCAGGGATAGAAACCTGGCTTCATCCTCTACAGAAGCCTTATTAGGCAGTCAGACTTGCATAGTCTGTTTATGGTTGACATTCTGAATAAGCCATTTTTTATCTTGATAAGTTTTGTGAATGACTTTACTAGTTTGCCTACTACTAGTTTTTTGTTCTTTCTGCAGCCTTACACTTTGCAACATTCTGTATGTTCTTATCTTTTCAGGTTTATCAGTATCTTATTTCTGGCAACTCGTCAACATCATCAATTGGATGTTTGGAAGAACCTCCCCTTTCCTTGTGCAGTGTTCATGCTTTCACAAGAGGAGAACCACCATTTACAAACTGCACCCCGAACTTCACAAATACGCTTGACTACATTTTCTTTTCCCCATCTGACTGCCTAAAACCTGTTAGTATTCTCGAACTTCCAGTGTTGGATTCGCCTGATATTACCGGTGGATTGCCAAACTATAGCCACCCGAGTGATCATCTGCCAATAGGTGCTGAATTTGAAATTACTAAAGATTAAAATATTCAAGTTTGAGTCTGCTGGGTCTTTTCTCACGGAGAATGGAGAAAGAGATAAAAGGGCCAGAGCAAGCTAATAAATCTCCCAAAGATCTGTTTAGCAAATAATGTGTGGCTTTCCAATTTATTTGATAGAAACATTTGTCTTTTCAAGCCTGTAACAAGCTGACAAACATCTAGACATTTTCGGTTTTGGAACTCGTTATTAGAGTGAATGCAATATTTATAATAATATACTTGGCTATTAATATCCCGTAGATCTCTTGCATGATACTTTGGGGTTCAGGCTGGGGCTGTGAGGGGCATCTATTCTGAGTCTATTTAAAGGGGGACTGGATTAAATTGTCCTAAGCAAATCAATTTTCAATAGAGGCCAAAGGACGTACCACATTCCTCGTGACATGTTACTGTATGTCTCTAGTTTTGATTTGTTTGTCATTTCCCAAACCTGTTAAAGTGAGATAAATCCCAGACAACCTGCAAACATTCATGCCATGTCTTACATGGAATGTAATTGCTGATTATACTTTGTATTAGACCATACAGTCTTGTGGCCTTTATCGTTTGTAATTGTTCCAATGAAGATAATTTTGGAGTTGCAAATGCAATGCCAGGAGATGAGAGTAACGAATTATTTCAGCCCTTTCCCCTTTCTCACTTGAATGGAATCATAAATAGAAGATCATTGCTGTATCATAGAACAATTATATCGTTTTCTATTTCAAATAATTTCGACCTTTTATTTTATTATAAAATAATTGTTATTGTTAATATAAGTTTATTTAAAATAAAATAAAATTTATTTATTAATATTTTAAAAATTAATAAGTAAATGATTTAAAAAATAAATATGTTTGTCGAATAAATTTAAAGAATTATCACTATTTAATTAATTATCTATTTTAAATAATTATGATATTTTTTTATCATAGAATAATTGTTATTGTCTATATCAATTTATTTAGAATAAAATAATATTAATTTATGGTCAAATTCTGTTTGAAATCCTTAAACTTTGTGAAAATTTGAAATTTAATTTCTATATTATAATTTATACAAATTTAATTCTCGTAATATTTTAATTTAATAATTTTAGCATCATCACTAACTTCATCGATTTTTTACCTATGCTGATGTAGCCATTGACTTTTTGGCATGGCATTAACTTTTGCTGATTTGGCATTGACTTGTTGGCTTGTTAATCAGAATAAATGGAATCAGTTGTTAAATTATACAATATTTTCTCATAATATTTTGTCACAAATATTGAAAAATCTATTACAATATTCTGTCACAATTTTTATATATTGTCACTAAATTTATCATAATTTTTTGTCATACATGTGAAATACTGATACTAGTTCTTTCACCATTTTTTGTTACATTTCGGCATAAAATACAAATATATTATTAATTTTGTCACACTTTTTTTGTCACAATTGTAGTATATTGTGGCTATATGGAAAAAAACTTACACAATTCTATTAGAAATCTATCACAAATTTGTCAATATATGAATTAGAATTATAATTACATCCCACAAAAGTAAAATTATCTATCAAATAATGTTTCTATTTTTTTAAATCAAACCCTATTTAAATGATTTTTTATAATCAAATTTAGATTCAAGATTCTAAATATATTAAAGTAAATTACTAAACTTAATATGTATTGATTTTAAAATTAAAGTTATTATTTAATTTAATATAATTATTTAGATAAGTTTTTTTTGTGAAGATCTAAAAAATTGAAAATTCTCATTATGATACATGATATTAATGTTTTGGTTTATCAAATAAATAATTTTTACCTTTTATTTTGTTAGGATTTAGTATTCGTCTTTCAAATAGATAGGAGCTCATCTCTCGTAAGAATTTAAATTTAAATCTCTTATTTTGTTTAGTTAGATAAAATGATCATTTTATTCATGGTTTATTTCAAATTCATTACAATATAACTCTATTCAATAATTTGATTCATTATAAATTTTGTTACATGATATATTTAAACTAATTAAAATAATATTAATTTTGATATATTAATGTAAATTATTAATATTATAATTGATTAATATAACTGATAATAATAATAATATTATTAATATGATATTATTAATAATTAATTATATATAATAAAACTAATATATTTCAAAAAATATTTTTATATTAAAGGATTAAAGTATTTTTAAAATTTAATATTTTAAAAAACTAAAAAAATTCTTAAAATTTTAAAAAATTTTATATTAGAGTGACCAAATTTTAAATTTTGTACGAATATAGAGATTAAATTTTAAATTTATGCGAGTATAAGGATTAAATTTTAAATTTTGTATATGTACAAAGATCATTTATATAATTTTACAACTAATTTCATTCATTCAAATTGTGACATTATCAAGTCAATATCACATCAATAAAGTCAATACCTTTGTCATCAAGTCAACAACCATGCCAACATTTTTATTAGCAAAATTTTAATAAAGTTTGTGATTGGACTCGAATTATCAAATCAAAATAATATGAGAATTAAATTGTTACGAATTATAATATATAGACTAAATTTTAAATTTTCACAAATATATAAGGATTTTTTGTATAATTTGACCGACTTAATCGCATTAAAATTAAACCAAAGCACAAATATTATATCCCCAAATTAGAAAATTTCTCTTCTAATTAGGAAGATCACCGACAGGATCATTAGGCTTCTCTATATTTTCGTGCTTGAACAACTTTGCACAAACTAAATGATATCCCAAGTTCACCCCTCCAATCGCTGCCAACAACCAATACACATTATCCATTCTTCCATCGTTGAGATTGTCCGGCAACCACCCTGTTGTTCTACGAACCAAATCTATGATCCCGGTGCTTGCATAATATCCAATTCCAATTAGTAACGCTATCATCGCCGTGGATGTATTTTTCAGTGACTTTGGAAATCCTTGGTAATACAATACAATTTGTCCAGGGAAGTGAAATCCTTCGCTGATACCTACAATTGTTAGTGGCACCGCAAGCCATAGGCTGGAAATGGGAACCACGGAGCTAGGCTGTTTGGTGAGGTGATTGGTTCGAACCGCATGGAGACGTCTCATTTCGATTAGGACAGACCCTATCATGGCGATGATATTGATGACGTGGCCGATCCAGATTCGTCGAAGAGGTGTCAAAGTCCAATGAGGGATGAATTTTTTCCATATTGGATGGAGGAAGCGATCGATGATCAAAATTGATAGAGCCATGGCTAACAGGTTAAACACAACGAAAGAACCAGCTGGGATTTTGAAGTGTGGTCCGAGGTGTCGATCCATGGTTAGGACTTGGAGGACCGATAGGTTGTTAAGCATGCCTATAGTGGTGCTTAAGAGAATGTTACTTGACCATAATGGCATGATCTTGAGTATGGTTTTGAGGTCTTCTACTTCTTCCACCGTGCATAGCTTCCATGATTTTGCATTGGAACCACTCGATTGAGTGTCATCACTCTCAGTTTTTAGGGCTGCACGGGTCAAGAATCTGCCATAGAGATTGTAGGTTATATATAGGTTACAAGCTGAAGTGACATAAAACAACTTCTAACAAATATTTTACAACATATTTTTCAGCTATTACATCTTGACTAAATTTGCTTCAAAATTAAAAATATAGTGCTAAAATGTTTCAATCAAATGATTGAGGTTCATAGCTATACTTTTTTCCTTTCTTTTTTTTTTTTTTTTGTTTTTCTTATCAAACGAAGAATTAAATGCTTGGTATTAAGGACTCAATTGCGTACCTGAATCTATTACTAGGACCATCTTTCAAGATATTTGCTGCCTCTATACTTCCATAGTTATAATCTTGATAGCCAAAAGTGCCTGATACATTCCTCTTCTGAAAGGCCGCAAATCCTACACACAAAAGGCGAACGAACGGGTTTCCGTTGGGCTTGATGCGTCGATAAAAGCGTTTCCCCGACAAAAATAGTATCAAAGCAATAGCATTCGCGACGACACAAATCACAAATGCTACACCCCAACTCACATTGTCTTGAATGTAGATGATAGCTGTTAAGCTAATAGCATTGGCAAGATATAAGGCCAAAAAATACCAAATGAAAAACATCTCCTGATCTTTGGGTTTGTCGAATTGATCAGCTCCCATAGTTGCAATTGTAAACCTTGTGCCCCCAACGCCAAGAGAACCTAGTGCTAAAGCCATGTAAAGGACTGCAAATTGAAGCTTTGATGGAGTGGGACATTGAAGTGAACCCATTGCACATGGTGAAGGCTTCAAGGAGTGGATTGTGGTTGTTAGGGTAAACAATATCATTCCCTGAAATTAAGCTCCAAAAATACAAAGTTAAATAGCTGATTACTACATTCAATTTTTTTTTTTTTACTTCTACATGATAAGTGAATACAATCATTTAGTCACGAAACCAACAAAAAAAAAAAAGGATTTGAAATATTTTTAATATATGGCGATTCAAAAATTGAATTTTAAAATTAACAAATGAAAATGAAATATTACACGTCATATACGTCTTTTTTTGTGAGCAAGAAAAAGGGAAATGGTAACTATTAATTTCATCAGATACAGAATAACACGACTTAAAATTTTAAAAAAAATCATAAATAAGTTTAATAAAATTAAAAAATTATATTTTATATTTTTATGTCGACATAAACTATGATAAGTAATTTTGTATAAAATATAATATAAATATAATATTTTATATGACACAATAACTCGAATTATCAAGTTTAATAATTTACTACGTACGATGGTATATACGACCAAATCCAAAGAGTAAGGCTAACTGATTCATATGATCGGACAATTATCAGACACAAATATTCAGACAAACATATTTTCCCCAACAACCAAAAACCCCAAAGACCATGGTTGCGCCAAACCACCGAAATATCTTACCGAATCATACCAATTATGAAAAATCATTAGTTTATTATTTTTTAAAATTCAGGAAAAATTTTCGTAAGAGGAAATCATAACTAAGGGATATGTGTTTAAAGAATAAACAACTGAAGACATGATTACCCATCTAATAATCATGACATATATATCACTAATGTTTTAGGGTTAGTATTAGATTATGGCACACCCACTATGTGAGTGAATCAGCAAGGTAGGTGAAATTAAAATAATAATAATAATAATAATAATAATAAATAAAAAGTGAGCAAAAATAAGTAGAAAAACAATAAGAAGATTTGAAATTACGGGTTAGTTTTTTAGTGGTATTTTCGAGTTGATTGGGAGGAAATTACTTATATGTCTCCTTTTTATTTGTTTTTATTTGGTTTTTAATCATTAATTATAATCAATTGATGACTTTACATCAATTGACTCACGATACACATACACATACACATACACACATATATATATATGTATATATATGTATATATATATATATATAAAATAGAAAGAAACCAAGGTTAATTTCATAAAGTTTGACTAAGAATTATTTAATATATTGTTAATGAAAATTTTGAATTCCACAAACGAAATTTTATGGTTGTCATGTACCTCATTAAAATATATATTTGAAAAAAAAAATTAATATATAAGAAAAAAACGACATGTAACAATATTTTAATCTCTATTAATTAATTAAGTAAATAAGGAAAGGAGATTTTTAAGAAGTATTACCAGTAAGGAAACAAAGGAAAAAGTAGTGACAACGGTGAAGGAGTCGAAGAAGGTGTCGGCAACAATGGCTCCAGCAATGGGAAAGAGAGTGTTGCAGCCAAGTATCACATTATTGATTTGAAAAGCAGTGATGTTCTTCACATTGAATTCACTTATTAGAAATACTATCAGATTTGCTGTCCACCCACTGGATGCAAGGGAAAGCCCCGCCGTTGCTCCTGCATAATATTTGCCTTAATCACTTCGTTTTAATCATGAGAAACCCAAACCCTAAACCTTTACAATAGCTAAAATTTTATGCATTTTTTTTCTAGTTAAACTAACTCGATACACGTTTCACAATAAACTTTACTTGCACGGTTGTTTGGATAAACTAATTTTAAATTAAGCACAAAATAAAATTTAAAATTAAAACCGATAAATTAATCATATGAGAAATTAATATGTCAATATTAACAATAGTTAAATTAATAATCCAATATTAACCGACGACAGTATTATTTATGGATAAAATGTTAAACTCTTAATTTTAATAATTGAAATTCAATACTTGATAAATTCAAGTACTAAAAAAAACTAATAATCTGATATATGAAGGTACTACTACTTAATTGAATGGAGGTGTTTAATTAAGTAAAGAGTTTACATACCTAGAATGAAGGGCAAAGTTGTCCTTCCTCCTCCTTTATGATCATCCATCATTGTTTGTCCATCTTCATTATTGACAGTAGTAGTATTTTGGCTGCTTTGTTCTATTTGTTCTAACTCCATATTTCTCTCTTTGAGGAAACGAGATAAAAAAACAACACTATATATAGAATTTTGGCTTGAGCTGGCCATGAGATAATTAATGCCCACTTTTCAACGAACATAAATTTTTTTTTTGGGTAATTGAAATTTTATTCCCAAAAAAAAAAAGGAATGCAATCCACTATATAATCATTAAAAGAAGCAAAGCCACTATAATTCAATTTTGTTGGCTTATGCCCCAGCATTCACGAAGACCTCTATGTACAATATTTGCATTTACAAAAATAATGTAAGAAAGATAAAGCATTTTCATGACCAAGCATATAATATTTTTCTATTACTATATGGTATTTATGATGAAAAAAATAACTTAAAAACATGTGTTTTTATATTTCAGATTGTTATAGATTATACTCTACCAACAAATCGTACTGTTGTTGATTAATATGTCTACAAAATTATTGATTTTGTTTATATTTACATCAATTTTGATTTGCTACAAGGATAATATTAAATATTTGATTGATTTTCAACATCTTACCTAAACTTTGTCCCAATAAAAATGTTTTATTGATTAATACAAGGCATGATAATGAAAACTTTCTTTGATATATAATATTTAATTGTGATTGTAATATTAGATAATAATTTTCCCATGATCACTTGTTATTTACCAAAAAAAGAAAAATACAGAGATCTAAAAATGTATTTAGACCAAGTATTATTGTGATAAATAAAAGTGTTGAAGAGAAAAATATCTATCATGACATAGAATAAGCTAAAAATGTACCTGTTTCGGGAAAGAAAATTAATTTTCAAAGTTGTTTCCATGTCAATAATTCATTCCAAATTAAGAAAAAAAAAGAAAATTTGATAACTTAGGTAATTACTTACTAATTAAAGAGGTCTTGCGGCCTTCGTAAGCTAACACATTTTTTGATAAATATCGAAATGCAAATGATTGGTGTTTAATTTCAGCCTATAATGATTGAGGTTCAAACCTTTTTGATGTGAAAGTTTGAAACTGAATCACAAATGAGAGTTCGAATTTATGAAAATAATAGTTACTATCCTTAAATCCTACGTCAAATTTTTGCAAGCAAAATACATGAAAGAAAGTGCCTTAGCTTATAAGATACTCCAAAGTCGTAATTTGATTCTAATATTTGTTAGCTGATTTTATGCAAACAGCTTCTTCCAGTTGAAGGTTGCTCAGGCGAAAATCATTCGAGATAGATTTGATAATTTGTATATTTATATAACATAAAATATTAATATTTTATATATTTATATTATATTTTATATAAAAATTAAGTGTTATAATTACACAAAAAACTTAAAATATAATTTTATTTTTTATTAAATTTATATATAATTTATATTAAAATTTTTATTCATTTTTTTATATAATTTTTATATTATATTTTAAATTGTTATATCTAATAAGAGGAAGCTGCCAAATGAACAGGGGACTTCAACACACAACACTTGCAGCTCCAGCAGCAGAATTGTTCATTTTCAATCTTTCTCGAATCTCAACTTTGTTTTGTATTTGTTAGTAGCGATGGTGGCTGGGATAGTGGAATCGAACAAGTACTTGATCTGTCCGATTTAGTGGTCGGTAAGCCTCAAGCATTCAATCAATCTACAATCACTTCTTGACAATTTTTCTCCTTGAGTTTGTGCAACATGTATCTGGCTGAGAGCTTTGATACTAATAACCTTTTTCTTTTCTCGACTCTATTTCATTTAAGTTTAAGTTTTGTTAAATTGTTTTTAATCGAGATCATTGCATTTTCGATTTTCATTTTTGATGATTTAAGAAAAAGAATCATGAGCTTGAACATGTTTAAAGAGCTATAATCATGATTAAAGGGATGTCAAAGATTGATCTTTAGAATGAGTTTTAACATTCATATTAGGTAAATATATTAGGGTTAAAAAGAAAAAAGATGAATTGTAGAAAACACTTAAGGGTGAAGGGTTCAAAATATGCGCTTGGATCTCTTATTTATTTTTTATATGAGATATGGAATGATAACATAACTTAAGTAGGTGACAATTAATGAAAAATTCATGTGAAACTCGAAAATGGTCCATATAGATAAAGTGAGTTGGATTTAATAATTTTAAATAAATTTTAAATAAATTTGAAATAAATTGAATTTTGTAAAGTGACATATTCGTGAAACATTAATAAAAGTAGTTGGACAATCCATCTTCTTGAGCAAAAAAGTTCTGGTAGGAAAGAAACTCAGGGACGAGCCCATATTGTGGCAAAAAACTTAGACATCAATTCTTTTTAACAATAACGTGACAATCAAATGTGTACCAAATTAATCTTGTTAAATGAACATTTAGACATGACAGTGCCCTTGGCTGTTAATGCTGTTAAATGAACTACGTTTCACTTCAACAATAAAAGGAAAATACTACGAAAGATTAACAGTATTTATAGGTTTAGATCTAAGCACAACAGACATGGCTTTATTTCAGATTTTCAGTTAAAAATTCTGAGGCATTTCCGTATATATATATATATATAAAAAAAAAAAAAAAACTGTGCAAACAATCCAAATTCTGCTCAATTCCAAGATAATAAAAAGTTTCTGCAGTCCATGGTAAGTGTTCATGTTTTTTTTTTTCGATTTATGTCGGTAAATTCTGCAGCCATCCCATCAACCTAAAAAAAAAAAATTTTGTTGAGCATCAATAAAGGTTGTAAGCTAATAAAACGTTTTGATAAATAGTTGATGAATATGTTTGATTTTTGTTCATTTAATTTATTTATTAAATTTAACAAATAATCATGAATAATATTTTAATATTCATTAATTAAATAAACAAATTATAAATAAAACAAAACTCGTTCATGTTAAATTTGTTAGTGAAAGTTAATAAAATTTTTGACGAACAATTCGTGAATAAATTCGTGAATAATTCGTAAAAATGACTTGGATAACAGAGAAACTAAAAAAGATAATTCAGCCATGGCTTTTTCATGGTTTTACGGCAATACTTCACGATGAGAACAAAAAGATCAACTTTTTATGGAATTAGTGCGTGAAGTTCAGTTTCACACGGTTTATTATAATAATTTTTTAGATTCTTTTGAATCAGAAACTTATCTATGGTCAATGAAAGCTCAAAAAATCAAAAAAAAATAATTGAGTTAAGCACAAAAAATAAAAGAGCGTCTAAGTAGATGTTCCATTTTCAATTGTACTGTAATGCTTTCTAACTTGCACAAATACAATAGGAAAATTGCACTAAGTTCAAGCTAAAATAAAAAAGTAAAAGTTATAAATTTTCATATAATCAAACTAGTGCGTGAAGCTCAGTTTTGCATGGTTTTTTATAAAAAAATTTTATATTCTATTGAATTAGAAATTTATCTATGATCAATGAAAACTTAAAAATCAAGTGAAAATAATTAAGTTAAGCACAAAAAAAAAAAAGAGAGCGCTTAGGTAGATTGTTCCATCTTTAATTGCATTGTGATGCTATCTAGCTTGCACAAATATAGTAGTAAAATTGCACTAAGTTCAAGCTAAATATAAAGGTAAAAGTTATGAATTTTAATATAACCATTCTATTAGAAGCATTGATAAAAAAGAACAATACTATTCACCCGAAACATCTTAAAAACATGCAAAAACACATTTTTTTTTCCCTACAATGGTGTTAGCACAAACTTTCATTTCTAAAATTAGTAGTATGAAGCATAAGACATAAGAGGAAAAAAAAACTAAGTAATTTTTAATGAACAAAATTATTCATGATTATAAACAAAATCGTTCAAATTATTGAAACTATTAGATATCAAAACCATAGTCTTACAAGAGATCATATCAAAGAAACAGATGTTTCAAAGTCATCCTAGTTCCTTGTGATACATACTTTTCTATCAAAAAGGGAAAATTTGTGTATCATGTATGAGAAATGGAGTTTCAAGCTAGCTCAAATAAAATCATTGAAGAGGGAAACTTAGGGTATAACAACAACATTATAAATCTCTAGGTGAGAAAATAGCAATACCTCCAATTTAGCAGGGGCCACCTACAACAATGCAAACAAAGCCATTACAGTAAAAAATATCATCAACTTAACTATCCACAACTCAGATGCTTTATCCACCGGATGTCTTTTATATTTAATCAAATCTTTCAACTTATCAACAACAAATAGGAAGCCATTACCATCGATGTAGTAAAGATCACCAATCTTTAACCATCTATCTGAATCAAGAGTTGATGTTGTAGCTTTTATATTATTGAGATAACCTTACCATAACAGAACACTAACAATCAATAAAAGAGGAAAACACATTAACTAAACAAGAAAATTAAAAACACAAACAAAAAGGCTGGAGTGTTAGCAAGCTTATTAATTAAAAGGCTATGACTTTACAGGCTACAAACGTTAGACCTGTTTGATAACATCTCAACTTTTCTATCTTACATGAAATCATTTGGGCAATTGGGAAATGTAACATAACACAACAACTCGAAACCAAAGCCTACTTCATAATTGCCATTTGCCAACTTGTTGTTCCCATTTAAATGTTCACTTGGCCCAATTCATAATTTTTACTAACCCAATTTAAGGCAAAGTGTAGCTATCTAAAGCTACCTAAAGAAAATTGGATTGCTGTTTCTATTTATCCTAAAGAAATACAAAAAAGGTAACTTTTAGTTATTCAAGAAAAAAATTTCACCTAAAAAGGTTTCCAAAAAACGCAACAAAAAATAATAAACACAACAAATCTCTAATCTGAGAAAGATCATCGAAAATCAAAAACCTAAAATTTTTAACTCGAAACAATAGCACCAAATCAAGTGTCACAAATTAAAATTTTAATGGAATATCGACTACGAAAATAACTAAATCAAAGCATGTAGAGAAAGAAAATAACTAAAAAGCAAATCCAAAACCTCACTAAAAGTGATATTAGGAAATTTTGAGATATGATGAATCTCAAAACTCAAATAAAAATCCAAATTCACTATAATGACTCTCAA